AGTAGAATGAGCTTGAGGAGGCCTATCAGGACCAGCCAGTTATCCAAACCTGAACCCTCCACTCAAGGCAGCCCTGACCCCAGCCTTTCTCATGCCCCTGGCAGACCGGAGGACTGGCTTTGAAGCATCGACAAAGATGGATGCTCCAGGGCAAAACTAGAAGTACTGATGTCCATGGATGGTGGCCAGAGTACATAAATGACAACACATCCAAGCTGAATGTGTTGGGGACAATCCGACAGTCCCTTATGCCTGTCGTGAAAAGGTATAATGCAAAATGTGTGCCTAACAGAGAGGGGAGAAAGCACTGGAAGGAGGCACACCAAGCTGCTGAAGCACTACATGGGTCATTATGAAAGTTTTGAGATACATGAAAATCAAGAGACATAAAATCACCGTGTATGGAAACAAATGAAGCCCTCTCTGCAACACTAGGAGAGGTGAAACTTGCACGGGTGAATCAGGATACTGTCAATAATATTAATAATATAGTCCATCTCAAAACTTTTGTAGTGACCCTATGTATATGTGAAGGATGAGCAAGTTAGACATTCAGGTGGTCCTCAATAGTCACATGGGTTGTTTATGGTCCAGGTCATGACCACTGGGAGTGGTTAGCACTGGTGACTTCTCAATGCAAATATTTTGACTTCTTGTTACAGGCCCCAAGACCAGAGTCCTAAGATTCCACCTGTAGATGGGAAGCAGGCCCAGGGTGGAGGGTGACTTAACATTATCCTCGTCACAGAGCCCAGACCCTCCTTTCTAAATGACTTAGAGCAGTGGTTCTCAACCTTCCTAAGGCTGCGGCCCTTTAATACAGTTCCTGTGGGTTGCGACCCACAGGTTGAGAACTGCTGACTTAGAGGCTGGTGATGGGCTCCATTGTCAGGGGACTCTACATCCATCCACAGAGACCAGTCTAGGCCAGCAAAGGCTGCTTTTCCTCTAAAAATCTCAGGAAAACCAATCTAAACAGGAACTATTTGGTTTTATTATTAGCCTCAGTTGAAGATAGGATTTCTGAGCTTTATTCAGGCTTCTCAGAGGGGACTGGAAGATAAGGGTAGCAGGTGACTGTTGGCAGAGACACCTAATCCTCCCACAGCCCCATATCAGCTACAGCAGCAGAGCCCTGGGATAGGGGAATCTGAGGCAGCAGGAAACCGAGGCTGCAGCTCAGTGGGAGGAGGTGGCTTTGGTCCCAGGGCGCTATGGACCAAGGACAGGTGAGGTTTCTCATTCTACTGAATTCCCTTTTGATTTGCCCATCTGGGGCCTGAGGATTCAGAACAGCAGCCTCAGCCTCAGCCTTTGGAGGCTTGGCGGCAAACTTAATCGGGCTGTAGTCACATGGGGGGCTCGATATAGCATTGCAAGCCTCATGCAGTCTGATTCAGCGAGTGATGCTGCTGGTTCAGGTTCTGTGAGCACCTGATGCTTTGAAGAATTAGTCACTCTTGTGGGAAGTAAACATTTATTTCAACTCCAGCCATTTCTTCACCTTCACTTCAGATTCTTTTGATTACTTGCAAAGAAAACTTTGAACTTCACATTAACATAGACACAAATTGTCTTGAACTCCTGGCCTTCAGTGATCCTTCTGCCTCCTAAGTGCTGGGATTACAGGCGTGAGCTGCCTGGCCCAGCCTAAGGACACTAATGGCATTGTTTCATCACTGCTGCCTCTTCACCCTTATTTCTGCATTCGTGTCCTCATATTGTCAGGAATGTTCCAATTTCACTGACATCCTCGCTTGGTTCTCTAAGTTTCTGTTTTGCTTGATTTTCACAACCAGGTGTTTTTTTAAAAAAAGTACAATGCAGCTGTGTTATAAGGAGGACAATTCCCTCAGACGATGATTGTGAGGGTTTGTTTAAAGGAAAAAATCAAAATTAAGTGCCATCTGGCTCTCAAAAGTACTGAATAAATGTTAGCTATTACCAATTAACAAATTGCCCTTACTATGTGCTAGATATTGATTAACTTAATTGCCACTAAAAATTCTTTTTTTTTTTTTTTTT